TCATTTGCCAAAGAGCAAATTTTTTGAACTTGTTACATGAATATTTTAATAGCCAAGTGCATGTTATAATTATGTCAAGTTCCATGTTAACATGGACGGTGGAAACTGTGATCAACAAAAAAGAACTCCTTTCGTTTGCAAAATTTTATTTGAATTGCCATTGTTGAGCTTGGCGACAAGGTCGACAAGTGTTCTAATTTGTTGCAGCCCCCAGTCTCTCCCTTTTTTTTTGGCGCTGTGAGGTAGCGACAAGTTCTGTTAACAAGTTCCGCAGAATTCAGCTTTTTGGTAAAATGCCATAAAATTAGCAACAAATTAATTTATATTTTTTTCTCCTGAGTTGGGGCATAATTGGAGTTTATGCGGTTAGAATAATTTATTTTTCTTTTAATTTAAAAGGCAATTAAAAATTTACAATTAAAGTCATACAAGGAGACAATGGTCCGAACACCACTGGTGTCCTAAAATTTTAATGACGGAAGAACTTGGATTTTGTTAACAAGTTCTCTGTCCTTGCAGGTCCTTAAGAGGCCCTTTCTTCAATGAAAATAACAAAAAATAACAATAAAAATTTCTTCACATCCTTCCACCCCATTTATGTTTATCCTATTTTTCAATTTGCCATCAAAACTATTTCGAAACTTTAACTCTTAGCCAACTTTTTGTTATTTGAAATTAACCCTGAACTTTTTTTCCGAACAATATTTTTAACAATAAAAAAATTCTTCAAAAATTGTTTCTCTCGTAAACGTTTTGTCACACCGAAAAAAACTGTTGGTACTTTCAGTTTTCGTCAAAACGAAATTCAAAACTAATTTTGCCCACACACAAAAAAAAAACACCGAACCTTGAAAATGGAAATCTTTACAAATTTTTATTAAGTTCTCTTTTGACAAATAAAAGAATTTTTTCTACTTCCTTTATGGCAGTTGGACTCGTTCATGCATGGCTGACTTAGTGGCAGCTATTTTCATATATGTATTTGTGTGGGTGTGTGCAAGAGGTATGCATGTGTGTATGTGTTTTTGTGAAAAGGGGGAGGGAAATTGTATGCCATTTCATTTCTACAAACCATTTTCAAGCATCATTTCATATCTCGTATGTTTTTTGTACGGTTACAGGAAAATCCTGCAACTTTTGCTCGATTCAAATGGCATTTCACCACCTTCTAGTACCCTCCATAACAATAAGAACAACAAAAAGTTAAGCTATTTTTTGTTAAAAAAAAAATTTAAAAAAAGTTGACTTTAGTGATTTTGGTTGGTTAAAAAATCGATACGGCAGATATCCACGCCTCATAAGGGCCTCGGAAAAAATTATTTAATAAATCCACGCCTTATAAGGACCTCGAAAAAAATTATTTAAGAAATCCACGCCTTATAAGGACCTCGAAAAAAATTATTTAAGAAATCCACGCCTTATAAGGACCTCGAAAAAAATTATTTAAGAAATCCATACCTTATAAGGACCTCGAAAAAAATTATTTAAAAAATCCACGCCTTATAAGGACCTCGAAAAAAATTATTTAAGAAATCCACGCCTTATAAGGACCTCGAAAAAATATTCTTTCGAAAAATCCACGCCTAGATAAGGACCTATTCTTTAAGAAATCCACGCCTTATAAGGACCTCGAAAAAATATTATTTAAGAAATCCACGCCTTATAAGGACCTCGAAAAAAATTATTTAAGAAATCCACGCCTTCTAAGGACCTCAAAAAAATTATTTAAGAAATCCACGCCTTCTAAGGACCTCGAAAAAAATTATTTAAGAAATCCACGCCTTCTAAGGACCTCGAAAAAAATTATTTAAGAAATCCACGCCTTATAAGGAACTCGAAAAAATTATTTAAGAAATCCACGCCTTATATGGGTCACGAAAAAAATTATTTTAAAAATCCACGCCTTATCTAGTTGTCAGAAAAAAATTATTTAGTCAAACCAAATATTTGCACCTAGTAGGCTTTGGTATTCATATTGTATTTTGTGTTTGTATCATACTATTTTTCTGTACCTTTTGTAATAAACGTTTGAACTGAACACAACATACGTGTCCGCTGTATTTATTTCTAACATTGGTTATGGGCCCAGGATAATTTTTTGCTGAGGACAGAGGCCAAGGATTATATTGTGAAGGATATTACAACAAGGCGATTTTTGTAGCGGTTTAACAAAGGAAGATTTTGCTGATATTGGATACGATTTTTGTGAATTTGGAGTTGTGTTCCCAATAAAGCTTTTAAAGGGAAAAAGGAATTTTCAAGATGGCGACTCCGTCCCTACAAATAGAAAAATTGGATGAAGGGAATTATGATTCCTGGCACATGCATATGAAAAGCGTTCTGGTACATAACGAGCTGTGGAAGTATGCGAGTGGGACCTACGATTGTGACCCAAGATGGACAACGGAACAAAAGGAGGAATGGGTAAGACGTGACGAAAAGGCGTTGGCGATGATAATACTGAGCGTTAAAGGCAGCCAACTTAATCATATAAAGAAATGTAAAGTATCAGCGGAAGCTTGGAAGAAATTAGCAGAAATTTACAAGCCGAAAGGGCCAGTTCAAAAGGTGATGCTTTTTAAAAAGCTTATGAATTTAAAAATGATGGAAAACGAAGACGTGGCTTCGTATGTCGAAAAATTTGAAAACATTGTGGAGAAATTGGCCGACATAGCAATAGAGTTGCAGGATGAGCTCATAGTTATTATTCTTCTGTCAAGTTTGCCATCGAGTTGGGAAAATTTCATTGTTGCAATGGAAACTCGAGACATGTTGCCGACGTTCCATGCTTTAAAATTGAAGTTACTAGAAGAAGGTGAACGTCGTGCAAATACGAATGCCACATTGGAAGCTGATTCTATACAGCAGGCATTTGCAAGCTCTCAGCAAAAGAAAATATTCGTCAAGAAGGAAAATTCGGAGTCCAAGAAAGATTTTTCGGGAAAGTGCTACGTTTGTGGAAGAAAAGGACACATTGCTCGATATTGTAGAGAAAACAAAGTGGAAAAGGAACGTTCAAGTGCAATGTTGGCAGTATCTGGCGGATTTAAGAGTGGTGTGTGGTATGTAGACAGTGGTGCAACATCTCACATGTGCAATAGTCGTGATTTGTTCACGGAATTTGAAGAGTGCAATGAGAAAATTTATCTGGCTGGCAATACTTTCATAACTGCTATTGGAAAAGGTGAAGTTGTTCTTAATGCGGAGTGTGAAGTCCGTTTGAAAGATGTGCTGTATGCACCGGATCTTCACGGAAATTTTATCTCAATAAGTAAGGCTGTCGAGAAAGGCTATACAGCAATTTTCACTTCGCATGGCGTAGAAATGAAGGACGCGGATGGTTTTGTCACCTTAAAAGCAAAGAAAGAAGATAACTTGTTTGTGGTGTCCAAGAAATATGATCATCATTTAAATGCAGCAAGCAACAATGATATGTTATGGCACTACAGATATGGACATCTAAACTTTAATGATCTTGATAAGATGAGCAAGAAATGTCTGGTAAATGGCATGAAAATGTCAAAGCGGGTTAAAGATGTGAAGTGCAGGACGTGCATGTTGAGCAAAATACATGTGGCTCCCTTTCCAAATATGCCAGAACACCGAGCTCAAGAATTATTGGAACTGATTCATTCTGATGTGTGCGGTCCGATAAATGTAAATTCTGCCGGAGGATCCAGATATTTCGTCACTTTTATTGATGACAAATCCCGTCGTGTTTTTGTATATTTTATGAAAGCAAAAAGCGAAGTTTATGAAAAGTTCAAGGTATTTAAGCAAGAAGTCGAACGCCAAACTGGAAAGAAAATTAAGATACTACGGAGTGATAATGGGCGTGAGTATATAAACAATCAGTTTGATTCATATCTACAAGATCAGGGTATAGTACGTCAACTCACGGTGGCCTATACCCCACAACAAAATGGAGTAGCAGAAAGAGCTAACCGTACTATTGTGGAGATGGCACGTTCCATGTTGATCCATGCAAACCTTCCTCAAAATCTGTGGGCAGAAGCTGTTTTAACTGCGGTGTATTTGCGGAATCGATCTCCAACAAAGGTTCTATGTGAGAAAACTCCTTACGAGGTATGGTATGGAAGGAAGCCAAAGGTTAGCCATCTCAAAGTATTTGGTGCATGTGCTGTAGCTTTGAATAAAGGAAGGAGAGCGAAATTTGATCCCAAGGGGAAGCAATATATAATGATTGGCTATTCATTAGTTGCAAAGGCATATCGTTTATACGATAGTAGTACTCAAACCGTGATTGAGAGACGCGACGTAATTTTTGATGAAAATTGCCTTCAAAATTCCAGTAGTGTCCAAAACGGGACTAGATTCGAAGATAAGGATTCATATTATATGGTATTGGATAACGAAAACGAACAAGTTTCAGATTTGCCCGAAACTAATCCGGATTCAGATGGAATTGAAGATCAGGAAGAGGATTTCAACACCGCCGAAAATCCACGCCTATTATTGATCTTGAAAAAAATATTTCTAAAAACCACGCCAATTGTTTCGACTTTAAAACATATTTTTAAAAAATTGGGCCCATTTTAGGCACTTGAAAAAATATTTTTAAAGAATTCAAGTGGCCTGCAATCCTGAAAAAAAGTTTTAAAAAAATCCTTGCCATGAAAATGATATCTATACGATCGGAATCTAGTATGGGCTTTGAATCATTATCATTTGAACCCTAGTATTTTCTCTTCTAAGAATTCCCATGTCCCCCTCGTAGTGAAAACCTGTCAGTCAAGCATAACATAATTCGCCGGCATACATATCAGCTTTCTTCGGCATTTAATCAAATACTGCATTCCCTCACACCTTGGCTGGCACAACATTCACAGCCGACTAGATTAGGGTAGAACATAGCTCTCACTTAAGCCAAGTTAATACTGGTAATTAAGTCATAACATTAAATAGTTGTTAACTTGATAATTTACACTTCTTCTTCTTCTCCATAGAATATAAACACACCACGAAATAATGAAGTGCCTCTACTTGGGACTCACCTGTAATAAAGTTGATTTTTCCTTGCCAACATTGCCTTAAATATCACATTTTCATAGAGATGAGACAAAAAAGTTTTAACCCGTTGACCAAAATCCAAGGGCTGTTTAAGACCCACAAATAAACTGGGCACATAGGCGGTCTCAATGGGATTACCCACCATGGCGTTGGTGATGAAAATACTTTGGATCATAAACGATAAAACAATGGGACATTGGAAATGGGCACCCAAACCCAAGATACTATCACTCATGGCATAGCCCAGCACCACCAAATCGAAATCACCAGCCTTGTGTTCTCGAAGGAATTTTTTCATCAATGGATTATTTAGACTTTTATTGGTCCTATCCAACATCAAACCGATATTATGAGCCAATTTCACATAAACCGGTGAAGTTTCATTGACCATTTTGCGGGCAAACTCCTCACCGAACATGGGTTCCTTCAGGTGAATATATTCGACGAGATTGAGATTTTTATAAGGATTTGGTGCAGTGGCAATTACGGTGACATCATGACCATCACGAGCCAGGGTCTCCGCCACTGAGAAATGTATGAACAAATGCGACAACGATGGCGAGGGGAAGCAACACAGAATCCGAGCACTTTCATTTGGAATGACTGCCGAGGTGCAGAGCACAAACACTATGGAAATAATACTTCTCGTTCTGTTCATTTTCGTCGTTGAGTAGACACTATTCTAGGGAGTGTGTCCGAACGCTTTGGGTTCGAAATAAACACTAATTAAAATTGAGTAGATTAAATTAATGGACTTCCTAAATTATCGAAGAAAAATACTCAATAGCAAAATAGAACTAAACCTGTTATCAGCTGCTATCCAGAACTATTATCAAAACAAGTTTTTTATTTGTTGGGTCTAAACCAGGATCGGGCAGAGCGTCAAAAATTCGGTTCTCATGCATTTGTTTTTGTGTGTGTGTGTCAATGGTTTTTCAGTTGGTTCAGTTGAATGTGTGTGAGAGAATAGTGATATTCGCTCTCGCCAGAGTGCACGCGTGCGGTGGTTCGCCCGATACGGGTCTAAACTATAGATAAGGGTTGATTTTTTTGAGTGCTCAAGAAGAGTACTTTGGAAATTTTTATGGAAAAAATATATAAAAGAGCTTGGTGTTAAGTGAGTGTGTGACTGAGTGACTGACAGATCGTCGCCTAGGCGAAACGGCTGAAGCTAGAAGCTTGAAATTTTGAGTGTGGATTGTTGTTGGTGTGTGGACGTGTAGGCGTGAGATAAGGCTGGGTTTTTGGAAATTCGAACTAGAAGGGTAGCAAAAATACTAAAATGTACCAAATATGCTACCCTTTGTATTAGGCGAACGGGAAGAGCTATAACTCTGAAATTTGGAATGTGGGTAACTGATGGAAAGTTTGAAAGCTGTACAAAAGGGTTTTTGAAAATTCGATCTATAGGTGTATAAAAAGTACTCAACTTTAATAAACTTAGTTCTAAAAGATGCTGCTGACAAAACTGAGCTTAGTACAGCGATCGACTTCAATCTTGATCACCGGAGCATTAAGAAGTACACCACAGGCACAGCCTTGAAAGTAATTTTGAAACCCCAACCATTGGATATTCTGATTAAATTCCAGGCGGCCAGGTGTGCCCTGAGACTCTGGGAAACAGATGCCTTGAAATCGCTGAACTATGGTCATGCCAGCATCCTAAACATAACGCCAGGTTATGATCTCTTTAGGGGGGATAGTCATATCAGTGACTATATTCCTTCATTAGAAGAATCCTTGCATTCCATTGCGAGGTAGTCGGTAACAGATGGCTAAGGGAACCTGCTGGCAGAATCTCTAAATCTATCTGACCTGAATTCTCTCGTAAAAGAATGTCTTCGCTGCTGGAACACAGTAAGAGGGAGATCAAAATCGTTGTGGGGATTATAACTGGTCACTGCTAAATAAGATCTCTCACTTCTAAGTGGGACTCCAGTGGAGAGGATTACTGTCGTCTATGTGTGTGTGACGATAAAGAACTGGAAACAATTGAGCACATCCTCTGCAAATGTCCATCGTTGATCAGCAGAAGACATAAACAGTTTGGAAGTTATGAACTTGATAATCTAGTCTTCTTCTCCAAAATAGACCCTAACCGAATTCTAGGCTTTGTCAAAAATCTGACATGGCTAAAATAATTTCTCTTCCGTCCGTCTGTAGATGTTAAATTGTAAACAAAGTACAGGTCGCATTTAGGATCCGATTTGAATGAAATTTGGAACAGCTCACTTATTTGGCCCAAGGACGAACGCTATTGAAATTGAAGAAAATAGGTTCAAATTTAGATATAGCTCCCGTATATAGTTTTGTCCGATTTAAGGTAAATGGGGCACCAAAGCCCCTATATATCCTTCGATTTGCACAAAATTCGGCATAACGTACTGAAATATGTCTAGAACGATATGTGTTAAATTTCGTGAAAATCGGTTCAGATTCAGATATAGCTCCCATATATATTTTAGTCCGATTTTTGGTAAATGGGGCAACAAAGCCCCTATATATCCTTCGATTAGCACGAAATTTGGCATACAGTACTGAATTAGGTCCAGAATGATGTGTGCTCAGTTTCGTGAAAATCGGTTCAGATTTAGATATAGCTCCCATTAATAGTTTCGTCCGATTTAAGGTAAATGGGGCGCCAAGTCCCTATATATCTTTCGATTTGCACGAAATTTGGCATATCGTACTGAATGAAGCCTAGAACGATATGTGTTAAATTTCGTGAAAATCGGTCCAGATTTAGATATAGCTCCCATATATATTTTCGTCCGATTTTAGGTAAATGGTGCACCAAAGTCCATATATTTCTTTCGATTTGCGCCAAATTTGGTACAGAGTACTAAATTAATTCTAGAAGGATGTGTGTTAAATTTCGTGAAAATCGGTTCAGATTTCGATATAGCTCCCATATATATTTTCGTCCGATTTTTGATAAATAGTGGACCAATGTCCCTATATATCCTTCAATTTGCACGAAATTTGGCATAACGTACTAAAATACGTCTAGAACGATATGTGTTAAATTTCGTGAAAATCGGTTCAGATTTAGATATAGGTCCCATATATATTTTCGTCCGATTTTTGGTAAATAGTGGACCAAAGTCTCTATATATCCTTTGATTTGCACGAAATTCGGCATAACGTACTGAAATACGTCTAGAACGATGTGTGTTAAATTTCGTAAAAATCGGTTCAGATTTCGATATAGCTCCCATATACAGATTCACCCGATTTTAGGTAAATGGTGCACCAAAGTCTCTGAAAATAATTCGATTTTCACGAATCTTGATAAAGTGTACTGAATTAAACGTAGAATGATGTGTACTAAGTTTGGGAAAATCGGTTCAGATTTAGATATAGCTCCCATATATGTTTTCGTCCGATTTAAGGTAAATAGTGGACCAAAGTCCCTATATATCCATCGATTTCCACGAAATTTGGCATAGCGTACTAAATTAAGTCTAGGAGGATGTGTGTTAAATTTCGTGAAAATCGGTTCAGATTTAGATATAGCTCCCATATATATTTTCGTCCGATTTTAGGCAAATAGTGCACCAAAAACCTTATATAAAATCCACGCCTATTATAGGCGTTGGAAAAAATATTTTTATTAAATCCTCGTCTATTATAGGCCTCGAAAAAAATATTTTTAATAAATCCTCGCCTATTATAGGTCTCAAAAAAAAAAAAAAAATAATCCTGAAAAAATCTAATTTTCATAGCCCATGTTTTTTTTTTAATTTCTTACTCACCTGTACATTTCCTCTTGCATGCGACCCATTACAGCAGCAAACACTCGATATTCAAAAATAATCGAAACAAAATTCTTAACCCTGTTCCAGAAATCCATTGGTTGCTTAAAGCCCATAAACAATGTGGGAACATAGGCCGACTCAGCCGGATTACCAATCAGTGTATTAATCGAAAATATTGGCTGGACCATAAAGGAGATAATTATCGGACACTGGAAATGGGCACCCAAACCCAACATGAAATCATTCATAAAATAACCCAATACCACAGCATCAAAATCTCCCGGCTTATGGGTTTCCAAAAATTCCAACATCTTGGGGTTGTTCATTGTGGCATTGGCCATAGTCATAACTTGGCTAACAGTACTGGCAAATTTCTTATAGACATGAGCCGGTTTGTTTAACATCTCCTTGGCAAAGGCATCATTGAACATCGGACCCTCAATGTGGATGTAATTGACATGAGGTGCCTTAATTTTAGTTGGTGGTACTGTAGCGATCACCGTTACATTGTGACCATTCAGGGCCAATGTCTCTGCAACCTCGGCATGTATCAACAAGTGTGACAGAGAGGGCGAGGGGAAGACACACAAGATACGACTGGATTGACATGGTGCAAACACCAAACCCACAATAGCTAGTGAAAGCCAAGTGCGCAGTTGGTGCGCAGGGGTATTCATTGTTGCGGAACGGGCGAGAGAATCGAGAAATTATCGAATAGCTGCAATAAACCGACACTCGCTCGCTCACACGTATGTTTACCGTTTACTGTCCGCTGCGGAAAGACTACCGGTTGCTAATTGTAGCCGATTCTTATAACTAAATGTAAAACGCATCGGAATAGTTTGTTTTTGTAATGTTATCTGGTTTGAGTCCATAGTTTGCTGTATACTAAGTATTTATTGATAAGCTAGCGAATGAGTGAATGGGAGAAAGAGTAATTTTCTACTCAATCAGAAAAATTTCTTTAATTAGGGGTGTTCCGGAAATCAATGAACAAATATTTGATAAAAAATTGAAAAAAAAATATTTTTAAAAAATCCACGCCTTTTGCAGACCCTTGAAAAGGGTCTATTGTTGGACTATGAGCACACCTATGTAAAGGCTTTCTGAAAATATTTCAAAAACCTCCACGTCTATGTAGAGGTATTTTAAAAAAAATCCGCGCCTATTGTTGAACTATGAACACACCTATGTAAAGGCTTTCTGAAAATATTTCAAAAACCTCCACGTCTATGTAGAGGTATTTTAAAAAAAGAAATCCGCGCCTATTGTTGAACTATGAACACACCTATGTAAAGGCTTTCTGAATATATTTCAAAAACCTCCACATCTATGTAGAGGTCTTGGCAATTATTATTAACCCTGAAATACTCATTGAGGGTACTTACCTATACATTTCCTTGCCCTTCTGAGCAACATAAGCCGAATAAATCTGATGTTCAAAAAATGAGGCAGCGAAATTTTTCACTCTCGTCCAAAAATCCATAGGTTGTTTATAGCCCATAAACAAACTCGGGACATATGACGATTCCGGCGGATTAGCAACCATTGCACTTACGGAAAATATTGGCTGGACCATAAATGAGACAATTATCGGACACTGGAAATGGGCACCCAAACCCAACATAAAATCATTCATAAAATAACCCAAAATCAAAGCATCAAAATCTCCCGCCTTATGGCTACGCAAAAATTCCAACATCTTTGGGTCATTCATGGTCACATTTGCCATATCTTGAACCTTCGATATGGTACCGGCAAATTTCGTATAAATATTAACCTGTTTACTGAGCATTTCATTGGCAAAGTCATCATTGAACATGGGACCCTCAATGTGGATGTAGTGGACATGTGGTGCTCGAAGTTTACTTGCCGGTACTGTACCAATCACGGTGACATTGTGACCATCTTGAGCCAATGTTTCAGCAATTGTGGCATGGATTATCAAATGCGACAGAGAGGGTGAGGGAAATACACATAAGATACGGCTGGCCTGGCACGATGTAAGCGATAAGACCATGAGTGGAATCAATGTCCAGACACAAAGTGACCTGGGGGTAGTCATTATTATTTGTTTTCGATTTTTTTGTTTATCCGTAACCCGAACTACTTTTTACGTATGTTGACAGTTTATCCACCACGCGTAAACTAACGTGCCTCCAATTTTGGGAAACCTCTTATATGTCATTGTAAAATACATAAAATTAATATTTTTTGGGGAAGCTAGAATAAATAGAGATTAGATACAAGTGAGTGCAACGTGTACATAATCAAATTTTTATTAGGGGTATTCACTAAACAGAGATTCATGAAAAATATTCTTAAAATAAATCCAGGCCTATTATAGGCCTTGAAAAAATAATTTGAAAATAAATCCAGGCCTATTATAGGCCTTGAAAAAATAATTTTAAAATAAATCCACGCTTATCCAGGCCTATTATAGGCCTTGAAAAAATTAATTTCAAAATAAATCCACGCCTATCCAGGCCTATTATAGGCCTTGAAAAATAATTTTAAAATAAATCCAGGCCTATCCAGGCCTGTTATAGGCCTTGAAAAAATTAATTTCAAAATAAATCCACGCCTATTATAGGCCTTGAAAAATAATTTTAAAATAAATCCAGGCCTATCCAGGCCTATTATAGACCTTCAAAAAATATTTAAAATAAATCCACGCCTATCCAGGCCTATTATAGACCTTCAGAAATATTTAAAATAAATCCACGCCTATCCAGGCCTATTATAGACCTTCAAAAAATATTTAAAATAAATCCACGCCTATCCAGGCCTTGAAAAAATAATTTTAAAATAAATCCACGCCTATCCAGGCCTATTATAGACCTTCAAAAAATATTTAAAATAAATCCACGACTATCCAGGCCTATTATAGGCCTTGAAAAAATAATTTTAAAATAAATCCAGGCCTATCCAGGCCTATTATAGACCTTCAAAAAATATTTAAAATAAATCCACGCCAATCCAGGCCTATTATAGACCTTCAATAAATAAATCCACGCCTATCCAGGCCTATTATAGACCTTGAAAAAAAATTAAATAAATCCACGCCTATAAGAGGCCTTAAAAAATACTTAAAATAAATCCCCGCCCATTATAGGCCTTCAAAAACATTTTAAAGAAATTCACGCCTATTCCTGGACTCTGAAAAAATATGTTTTAAAGCTCTGCATCTGTTGTAGTCTTTGAAAATGATTTTCAAAAATTTCACCCTCGTCCTCATGTACCTTGAAATGTCAGTGAATACCCCTATTATTGATCACACCATCAATTAAGCTCAATATTTAACCACTACGTAGCATGATGAAGCGTTTTAATTGATAACAGGCTTTTAGAATCTGATATGAATATGAGTGCCAGTACATACTAACAGGTGGGGCCTCTCTGTTAAAACAAAAAAAAAAACTACTTGACACTGGTTTTTAATGGTCATATTTCCATGGTATGAAGCGCGACAGCATAATTCCGTTGCTATATGGTGGTACTTTCTTATCAATAGACGGAGTGACAGGAGAAATGCTGGTATCTGGCTGGTATATTGGGTTAGATTTTGAAAACGATTAATGTTTTGGAATTTCCATTGTGGGGTCAATGCACATTGCACATTAGGGTGGTTCTCAGCCTTTGTAAAAACTATTCTTGATGGGCCTTCACAAAAAATATTCTTTAAAAATCCACGCCTATTTTAGGCCTTCACAAAAAAATATTCTTTAAAAATCCATGCCTAGGAAAAATATAGGCCTGAAAAAATATTATTTAACCAGTGAGCGGAGTAGTATAGTTGGACGGGGCCGACCCTAAGATGCCCTTCACAACTACCACGGAACTCTAACTTTCTGCGGATTTTTATTCCGAGCCTGGGTAATATTTCGTTATAGTTGCACCCTGTTGACCGACTAGAGGTCAACAACTATTACTAATATTCAGTACAGCCCTTCTAATTACTTGTTCAGATTCCCTTCACCGTGGCTTATGTTGTGATGTTCGACTTTCAATTGTGGCCTATAGATCGACTAGTAAAACACAAAAAAAATAAGTTTTTGGTCCACTTCATCCCAATATTATTATCTTATCATCATCGAAAATTATAGGCGTTGTCCTTGACCATACCTGGATCCTCATGGAAAATGTCAAAGCGACCAGCGCCCTCTAGTGTGGCAATGGGTTACTAAATAATATGTGAATACGTAAGCACCTGTAAATATTTAAGTGTAACTCCCATATCTGAGTACATACGACAATATAGTTGGTATCAATTTAAAGGTCAACCACTCCTCTTGGATATACTATCAACTTCTCGGGTCTATGTCCTTCAGGGGTAAATATATACGCTATAGGATACAAATTTTGTAATTTTTCACACAAAAATCAGGGTCCATTTGACCCGATAAATATTAACCGATCTTTAGCGATTTTTGGACCAAAATTGCGGCCTCTAGAGCGACCATTTCATTCCCTAAATATTACCCGATCTTTACCAGAAACAATAGGAGTCTTCATTGGCCAGAACCGGTCCTACATGCAAAACTTCGTGAAGATTGGTTCATAAATGTGGCCTGTATCGTGCTTACAAATCATAATGTACAGATGGAGAGACGGACGGACGGTCACACATGTCTAGATCGACTCAGCCAGTCGAGATATGACGTTCGGTATACTTAAAGGTGGGTCTAGGACCAATTTTTCGCGGCGTTACAAACTCTTGAGGCTACACAAAGCTATAATACCCTGACAACAAAGTTGTGTAGGGTATAAAATTCCACACCTTGCTGGGCCTTGGAAAAAAATATTCTTTAAAAAATCCACGCCTCATATAGACCTTGGAAAAATATTCTTTAAAAAATCCACGCCTCATATAGACCTTGGAAAAATATTCTTTAAAAAATCCACGCCTCATATAGACCTTGGAAAAATATTCTTTAAAAAATCCACGCCTCATATAGACCTTGGAAAAATATTCTTTAAAAAATCCACGCCTCATATAGACCTTGGAAAAATATTCTTTAAAAAATCCACGCCTCATATAGACCTTGGAAAAATATTCTTTAAAAAATCCACGCCTTGCTGGGCCTTGGAAAAATGTTCTTTAAAAAATCCACGCCTCATATAGACCTTGGAAAAATATTTTTAAAAAAATTCACGCCTTGCCGGGCCTTGGAAAAATATTCTTTAAAAAATCCACGCCTTGCTGGGCCTTGGAAAAAATATTCTTTAAAAAATCCACGCCTCATATAGACCTTGGAAAAATATTCTTTAAAAATCCACGCCTTGTTGGGCCTTGGAAAAAAATATTCTTTAAAAATCCACGCCTTGTTGGGCCTTGGAAAAAAATATTCTTTAAAAAATCCACGCCTTGCTGTGGGCCTTGGAAAAAATATTCTTTAAAAAGTCTACGCCTTGCTGGGCCTTGGAAAAAAAATATTCTTTAAAAAATCCACGCCTCATATAGACCTTGGAAAAATATTCTTTAAAAAATCCACGCCTCATATAGACCTTGGAAAAATATTCTTTAAAAAATCCACGCCTCATATAGACCTTTGAAAAATATTCTTTAAAAAATCCACGCCTCATATAGACCTTTGAAAAATATTCTTTAAAAAATCCACGCCTCATATAGACCTTTGAAAAATATTCTTTAAAAAATCCACGCCTCATATAGACC